AGTTGGTCGTCCCAGTACATTGTGTAATTCACTTGTGGGTCATCCCAGTACAGTGTGTAATTCACTAGTGGTCATCCCAATACATGTGTAATGCACTAGTTTGTCAACGCAGTACATTATGTAATGTACTAGTAGACCATCCCAGTACGTTGTGTACTGCACTAGTTGGTCAACCCAGCACATTGTGTAATGTACTAGTCGGTCGTCCCAGTACATTGTGTTATGTACTAGACGGTCATCCCAGTACATTGTGTAATGCACTAGTCGACCATACCAGTACTTTGTGTAATGCACTAGTCAGTCATCCCAGTACATTGTGTAATGTTCTAGTCGATCATACCAGCACGTTGTGAAATGCACTAGACGGTCATCCCAGTACGTTGTGTAATGCACTAGACGGTCATCCCGGTACATTGTGTAATGCACTAGTCGGTCGTCCCAGTACATTGTGTAATGTACTAGTTGGCCATCTCAGTACATTGTGTAATGTACTAGTCGATCATACCATTATATTGTGTAATGTACTAGTCGATCATACGAGTATATTGTGTAATGTACTAGTCGATCATACCAGTATATTGTGTAACATACCAGTCGGTCACACCAGTATATTTTGTAATGTACTATTTGTTCATCCTAGCACATTGTGTAATGTACTAGTTGGCCATCTCAGTACATTGTGTAATGTACTAGTCGATCAAACCAGTACATTGTGTAATGTGATAGTCGGTCATACCATTATATTTTGTAATGTACTAGTCGATCATACGAGTACATTGTGTAATGTACTAGTCGGTCATCCCGGTACATTGTGTAATGCACTAGTCGGTCGTCCCAGTACATTGTGTAATGTACTAGTTGGCCATCTCAGTACATTGTGTAATGTACTAGTCGATCATACCATTATATTGTGTAATGTACGAGTCGATCATACGAGTATATTGTGTAATGTACTAGTCGATCATACCAGTATATTGTGTAACATACAGTCGGTCACACCAGTATATTTTGTAATGTACTATTTGTTCATCCTAGTGCATTGTGCAATGTACTAGTGGGTCATCCCAATACATTGTGTAATGCACTTGTCGGTCATCCTAGTGCATTGTGTAATGTTTTAATCGATCTTAGCAGTACGTTGTGTAATGCACTATTCGGTCAGCCCAGTACATTGCGCAATGCACTAGTCGACCACACCAGTACGTTGTGTAATACACTAGACAGTCATCCCAGTACATTGTGTACTGCACTAGTTAGTCATACCACTACGTTGTGTAATACACTAGACGGTCAACCCAGTACATTGTGTAATACACTAGTTAGTCATCCCAGTACACTGTGTAATGTTCTAGTCGATCATACCAGTGCGTTGTGTAATGCACTAGTCGGTCATCCCAGTACATTGTGTTATGTGCTAGTCGATCATACTAGTACGTTGTATATTGCACTAGTCAGTCATACCAGTACGTTGTGTAATGTACTAGTCAGTCATACCAGTACGTTGTGTAATACACTAGACGGTCATCCCAGTACATTGTGTAATGCACTAGTCGATCATACTAGTACGTCGTATAATGCACTAGTCGGCCATACCAGTACGTTGTGTAATGTACTAGTCAGTCATACCAGTACGTTGTGTAATGTACTATTCGGTCATACCAGTACATTGTGTAATGTGCTAGTTGGTCATCCCAGTACGTTGTATAATGTACTAGATGATCATACCAGTGCGTTGTGTAATGCACTAGTCAGTCATCCCAGTACATTGTGCAATGTACTAGTCAGTCATACCAGTACGTTGTAAAATGTACTAGTCGGTCATACCAGTACGTTGTGTAATGTACTAGTTTGTCATACTAGTGTGCTGTATATTGTAATAGTCGGTCATACAAGTATATTATGTAATGTACTAGTCGATCATACCAGTATATTGTGTAACATACTAGTTGGTCATACCAGTGCGTTGTGTAATGTACCAGTGGGTCATCCCAATACATTGTGTAATGCACTAGTCGGTCATCCTAGTGCATTGTGTAATGTTCTAATCGACCATACCAGTACGTTGTGTTATGCACTATTCGGCCAGCCCAGTACATTGTGTAATGCACTAGTCGACCATACCAGTACGTTGTGTAATACACTAGTCAGTCATCCCAGTACATTGTGTAATGTTCTAGTCGATCATACCAGCACGTTGTGAAATGCACTTGACGGTCATCCCAGTACATTGTGTAATGCACTAGTCGGTCGTCCAGTACATTGTGTAATGTTCTAGTCGATCATACCAGCACGTTGTGAAATGCACTAGACGGTCATCCCAGTACATTGTGTAATGCACTAGTCGGTCGTCTAGAACATTGTGTAATGTACTAGTCGGTCATCCCAGTACATTGTGTAATATACTAGTCGGTCATACCAGTACGTTGTGTAATGTACTAGTTTGTCATACCAGTACATTGTGTAACATACTAGTTGGTCATACCAGTACGTTATGCAATGTACAAGTTGGTCATACCAGTGTGTCGTGTAACATAATAGTCGATCATACAAGTACGTTGTATAATGTACTAGTTGGTCATACCAGTACGTTGTATAATGTATTAGTTGGTCATACCGGTACATTGTTTAATGTATTAGTTGGTCATACCAGTACGTTGTATAGTGTACTAGTTGGTCATACCAGTATGCTGTGTAATGTACTAGTCGGTCATACCAGTGTGCTGTGTAATGTACTAGTCGGTCATACCAGTACGTTGTATAATGTACTAGTCAGTCATACCAGTACGTTGGAAAATGTACTAGTCGGTCATACCAGTACGTTGTGTAATGTACTAGTTTGTCATACTAGTGTGCTGTGTAATGTACTAGTCGGACATACAAGTATATTATGTAATGTACTAGTCGATCATACCAGGATATTGTGTAACATACTAGTTGGTCATACCAGTGCGTTGTGTAATGTTCTAGTGGGTCATCCCAATACATTGTGTAATGCACTAGTCGGTCATCATAGTGCATTGTGTAATGTTCTAATCGATCACACATGTACGTTGTGTAATGCACTATTTGGCCAGCCCAGTACATTGTGCAATGCACTAGTCGACCATACCAGTGCGTTGTGTAATGCACTAGTCAGTCATCCCAGTACATTGTGCAATGTACTAGTCGGTCATATCAGTACGTTGTATAATGCACTAGTCGGTCATACCAGTACGTTGTGTAATGTACTAGTTGGTCATACCAGTACATTGTGTAACATACTAGTTGGTCATACCAGTACGTTATGCAATGTACAAGTTGGTCATACCAGTGTGTCGTGTAACATACTAGTCGATCATACAAGTACGTTGTATAATGTACTAGTTGGTCATACCAGTACGTTGTATAATGTATTAGTTGGTCATACCGGTACATTGTTTAATGTATTAGTTATTCATACCAGTATGTTGTATAATGTACCAGTTGGTCTTACCAGTACGATGTGTAATGTACTAGTCGGTCATACCAGTGTATTGTGTAATGTACTAGACGGTCATACAAGTGTGCTGGGTAATGTACTAGTCGGTCATACCAGTGTGCTGTGCAATGTACTAGTCGGTCATACCAGTACGTTGTATAATGTACTAGTCGGTCATACCAGTACACTGTGCAATGTACTAGTCGGTCATTCAAGTGTGCTGGGTAATGTACTAGTCGGTCATACCAGTACGTTGTATAATGTACTAGTCGGTCATACCAGTACGCTGTGTAATGTACTAGTCGGTCATACCAGTGTGTTGTGTAATGTACTCGTCGATCATAACAGTACGCTGTGTAATGTACTAGTTGGTCATACCACTATGTTGTGTGACATACTAGTTGGTCATACCAGTGCGCTGGGCAGTGTACTAGTCTGTTGTATAATATATTGGGTGGCAGTAACAATGTGCTGTGTAATGTACTATTCGGCTATACAAGTACGTTTCATAAATATCTTAGCCAGACACCATTCACACAAATATTACGTTTATCTAGCGCCAGAGGTTTATTCTCTAAATTGATCGATGGTAGATTGTGGTCAATTTATACGTACAACCTTTCTATTCTTATTACTATAACAATAATAATAATAATAATACTCTCATTATTAACATTATTAGTTAATCGAAGTTTGCATTTTGTTGTCTATCCAGTTGAAATAAAATAAGTTTCAAATATAATGCAAGGAGTCGGCCGCTTTTCAAAATGACGGGCGACTGGGTTACAGGACATCATAGATGCATTCATGAATAAAATTAACGTCAGATTCAAAATAACACAGTTGGGGCCTAATACAAAGCAATTGTTCATTATATTCTGTCTCGACAAATTGCATTAACAAATTTTAAGATATATTAATTAAATATATTATCTCGTTATGTATATTTACTGTCCAAATTATTATGTTTAACCAAATAAAATTAAAATATTCAATTAATTAGGATTTACTCTGAGATATATTGCTCATTCTGTCGTAACAGCTTGCATTTAAGAAATAAACGATATTGTAATCAGTGTAATGTGTGTGTGTGTGTGTGTTTTTTTTTAAATTTTCTTTCGCTTCATTCGCACTTCTCGTGAACTGCAGGGCACCTTTTACTGACCCCTATAGGCATCCAAAGTGATTTGAATTTTGTGCATTTCACGAGAAACCATATCTAAGAAAATATTGTAATCAAATTAGAAGAATCGCTTAAAATATGTTAATTGGCCTTGAGTGACGACAATGAGGGTATTTTTTAACTGGGCGTTAGACAAAACTAAATATAGACTAGAATCAGTGTACCAGTATTCCAGGATATAATGCCATACAAACTGATTTTATCGTTCTTCAGTGTTCATATTAACCTGCAGTGGGAGGTTATCTGCATATGGAACTAAGTTGGAATGCACATTTAAAAGCAAGTACTTACCTTTTTCTTAGATTCCGCTTGTCTGGCATCTCGGTGTCTCTCCCTCTCTCCTGGTGGTTTTCGACCCCAAATAGCATATCCAATGATGGAATACGTAATAGAAAGTATCACCAGTGGCAAAAAGTATTGTAGGATCATCAGAGTGATTGTATAAATCGATCGCTGTTTTTCAGTTTGCCATGTTTCCTTGCAAATAATGTCCGTTGAGTTGTACGAGGTGTCTATTTCACTGTTGATGGCAGCTGGAAGGCTTATCCCACCTGCTAACACCCAGATTATGATTATCACGATGAAAGCTTGTTTCTTGGTCATTCTGGGTCGTAGAGGATGTATAATTGCGACGTATCGGTCCAAGCTAATAGCAACCAATGTAAATATACTGATCGAGACGGATACCATTTGTATATACTGCACCAGAGCACACATAACGTACCCAAACGGCCAGTGAAAGTTTATACTGTAGTAAAAAGTCAGATTGACGCATATTACTGCCATTAGGAAATCGCTAATGGCTAGATTAACGATGAAATAGTTGGTCACCGTACGCATACGTCGATTTCCAAGTACTATGTAACATACGACAAGATTGCCGATAACAGCGAGTGCCGACGTACATGCATATAATATAGCCAGTATAACTTGCAGCCATATCGGTAGATACAGGTCCATTACAGGTTGCTGCTGGTTCTCATTTCCAGTAATCTCATATGTAACGTTGTCTAGAAAGGAGTAGTTGGAAAAGTTGTACTGCTGCAGCGCAATCCGAAGTGACGTCTCCATATTGGGCTGTGCTATGATGAGGTTATCGCGACAATCTGCTGGAACTAAGCTCTGTTCACTTATGCCCGACTCACTACGTATCGTAATGATTAAATCCTCACGAAGGAAATACAACGTGACGTCAGCACAACAAATAAACCGCAAGTAGATGAAACATATCGTTCTAGATTTTGAGCACGTGAATTCAATTGCGATAATACAGGAGTTAATATTCCGGGGGGTCTACCGTCGCCTCTGATATTGATTGAGGATTCCGGCGATTGAATCTTGCACGTTGGTGATGAAAATTGTCTTCTGCCACTGTTATTCTGTACTTAGTCTTATCAGAATAATCTGTGAAAAGTATAAATTGTTATGAGTTCAACACGGAGTTGAAAACTGAACAGCCTGCAACTGACGTTCTAAATAGAAGATGAAATTTATATATAGATATAATATTTACGAGATTTCTAAGCATTTTAATGTATTCCCGTTCATAAAATATGTTTCCATGGCGTAACCATGTAGGTAAATTGGATACCATATGTATGCAATGTTTAATTTCAGTGACATTCACATAGATGGACAGGAAATGAGGCAGGTTGAGTGACATGTCCCTAGTACCAGCATAGACGCTGTACGCGTCCTCTCAAAATAGTGTATCAGAGCCGTAGTCATCGTTGCTTGGAAACGTGGTTATTCCTTTGTGGATACGTATATTGAATGAAATGAACGACTAGTGTATCTTATGTGCACACATATAAACCATTCTATAGAAATGAATGCCTTGCAGCACGATATACAACTGTTATCCCGTTGTGGTAATTCAAACAACTGTCGCAAATTCTGTAGCCAAATATAATATAATAACATTGCAATTACCAGCCATTCCCGCCCACTATATCACTGTCACGAACAAATTAAAAAGCCATGACCCTGTATTTTTTTTAAATACACATTGGCAGCTCGTGGCACGTGCAATACTTTAACAACAATGGATACTAATCTTATTTTTGTTGGTATAATATAACCACTAATTCAATTATTATTTCGTATACACGAGTAAGTCATCTGATTATAGTACTATTCATTCAGAAATCGCCGAGCTAATGATAATGATAATGACAACGTTTGATTGATCGCATAGATAATATTATTTCTACTTGGAATAAGACGATTTTTTTTTCGATTTGATATACCCATGCATGTATTGATTATACATCGCGATTCAACCATGCATCTCCGCTTGTGTATTCAATTTTGGGAGCATTTGATTGAGGTTGAATGCACCTAAGTCATTACGTCATGCAACATCTACACAGTGACTCAATCTGGGCAATATGTCGAATGATGATAATATTATTTCTGGTTTCATCGTCATTAGCAAATTGGACTAATGCGTCGCTGTGATTCGTGCCATTCATAATAGTAACACATAATAGAAATGGAACTTCTTCTTACGAGCCTATAAGAATATGTCATCATGTTGTCTATTTCCGTGTATGTTTCGAATGAATGCAATCATGATTGCCATGCACATATATGGTTGACAATTTATAAGTTTACAACTGGTAACAATAATCTCTTGATTATTTTAGTTTTAATTCGTTAAGTTTTGTTTTCATGCCCACAAAAATACGACGTACACCAACATAATTCGCATTGCTGCAAAATTGTAGAGCATTCATTATTGGAGTGTACATTACCACATCATTAAGTCTGCATGGTTCCCACGATGAGCACAAATCGAACAATTCCCATCTCGATAACGAACACAGTTAATGAGTGCAGCCGTCTATAAACTACACGAATCCCCGCAATCCCGCTATTTCATCAGACTATTATTTCTAATGTTGGTAGCGTCTTAGTTGGTGCGCATCAGATGGTAATTTACTTTTCGCAATATTCCACTCAAATCAAGGTTAATATGTACTTAATAAAACGTCGCCAGATAAAAACAGATCGGGATGTAATTGTATGACGATAGGCTCGGATGAAACACTAGAATAATATATTCAGGGTGTGTGTGTATAGATAAAATATATGATATAATAAGGTTTGGTAATCCCAAAACAGGAAAATACATTTACCACGACGAAAATAATCACTTACAAGATGGCTGACTTATATTGCCATATTGCATTCATACAACAAAATGATCAGTATACTATTTAGTATCGAAATGTGACGAACGTACTCTGTTGCCAGCAGTGTGACATTCAGACTACCTGTAAGCATATCACCTGTACCATAACCCGGACCAGATCCGCCAAATTAACAACGGCATGAACAGCCTTTGTGTCATGTTCTTTAGTAGATATGGCTATAGAAATCAGCAGTCAATGTGACAGGACGGTCGTTTGTTTTATACCAAGGATACATGATGAGTTTGAGGGAAATTGAAATCTGATTGCATCAAATGGTTTCATAAACATTGGCGCGATGAGTTTGGGATTGACTCGCACGTGTGACAATGTACGCAGTGTATTTTGCAAAGGATTATTAAGATAGAAATTAATCGTTATAAAATCAATAGAAAGAAGTCCGCTCTAATCATAATATGCAGCATATAATGACGATTCACGTCACTATATTGTTTTTCATACATTCGGTTCCAGACAAGAATTTATAATGCGAATGAATTGAATAAGCTGAATAAGATAATGAACAGCGCTTCGTGTGCGTGATTTTATTCCACGGTGTGATGGAATACTGCATGTTAACGCTTTGTTTGATTTATTTAGCTGCATTGACAGATAGTCGGTTGTCGGGTGACGTAAACAGTGAAGCTAATTCGCGAACCACAATTACACTTAAAAAGTTTATTGCGCATGTTTTACGTTTTCTTGCTCACACAGCGCGTCATATGCGCACATACAGTAATTGATTACTTTTGTGAAATGGATAATGCTGCACCATGCAGCTTGAAATTGGCAAACGGGGAGACTGCGTCCATACGCTTGCATTTATGTATTTAAGTCATCGAATTCACTGTTTTAGAGACGACGGGAGTTTCAATTATATGTCCGAAATAAGGAGATTTGAATTGTATCATTATATCCAATCCGATGTCATTAAAATATCACCAAATATCAATCAAAATAAAAAAAACAGATGGTAAAAATAACTTATATAAAAATAGGGCAATTCACAGTAATTGCAACAGCGAGTTTTCTCATTAAAATATAGAATGATATTGGAAATTCGGGTTACCTTATATGACAACATGGTTTACTAAAAATATGCCCGGAAATTACGTAAATTACTTACTTAATTAGTTATGCAGTTAAACCACTGTGTACATTATTTGATTTTAATTAATGCAAATTTACATATGGGAATTCAGTCACTTGTATATTTTACGGAATACATACATACATACATAAGCAATTGACCGTATGATAATAGAGTTTACAAGGAATCGACATATTTAATGAACGTAATATTTAAAGAGCTTAGATCAAAGAAAAACAGAAAATATATACAAAATCAAATATGGTCGCCGAATATTTGGTTCGGTATACAGTAGTTTATATGACAAACACCAAGACTTTTAAAACTGTTTAACAAGTTATAGGCCTATGAACTAGTTAATAAATAATACAAATTTAATCTGATGTTGATTTCGTCAAGCCCTGGAAAGACGTGCAGAAAAAAAAATTGTAGTAAACTACATAAAACTTTAAATATGATATTTGCACAATTGTCGTTTTGTGATGCAATTCTACATAGTGTCAAAGCCACGATCAGTGTTTACCAAACACTCACCGATGACGATTGTCACCACAGAATAGACCATTCCCGTGACCTTTGCTTGACCCCGGTGTATTTACATCCGGGTACTTTTGACGGTGTAGAGCGGCCATTTTGAATTTAGTCGCTGATTGAGATAAACATGCACCATGACAATAACTTAGAAACATCCTCCCCCTTCGCCTAATAAGCTTGGTGATTACGTCATATGATTTCCTGTTCAGGGAAATACAAGTTTACATAAAAAGCGAAAATTTCCGAATTGTTAAAACATGGTATAAATGAAATGATTTCAGATTTTTGGAAAAAAGTGATATATCAATCTGGATCTACACAACATCACATATTTAAACGCCAAAATATTCCCCCAAAACAAACCAACAGACTAACAAGCACTTCGCGGCACAATTCTACAACAGAAACCCCAAGAACACAACAATAATGACTGACAGACAATACACACAAATAAACTGAAGAGTACACAATAGGACGTCAAACCAGTGATCAATAAAATATAATATGTACCTCAAGGTAAACATAACGAGGTCACTTTTGTTTCGAAGAAAATGAGCATGTCTGCCTCCCCATGCATCACTCGCCATGTATACTATTAAAAATATTTCACGGATCTTGCCGCCTCTGTTCGCAGCGCTTCGAAATGGTAGAACGCACTATCAAGGTAATTTGAGGCGTGGAAGTATACCACCTGGCACAGTGAATAATTTATAACCAAGCAGCATGTTCAAATATTATTAGGTGAGATAGAATTTAATTATTTAAAGGTCGATAAAAATACAATAAACTTAAAAAACAAGTTAGTGCTTTAACTGGATTGTTTACCTTCACGCGTAATAAAAAATGGCACAAATTTCGTAATTTCACAAAATTTTAATTTGAATGCCGATTATTATAATTTAAAAAAAAATACATTTTCATATATTTCTGTGATCTGCAATTACATTAAACTATGACGAACGAGAGTCGTCGGTCTTTAAAAATGATAAATGTCGTCTCATTTGCCGCAGTTGTCTTTGTTGGTGTTGTAAATATAATAACACATAGACCATGCTCATTTAAAGAGCGGTAGTCGTCGCGCCACGCATGCGCGAGATACATGGTTCTCATATAAACAAAGATGGCGGCTTTGACTGTTGCGCAGATCAGCGAGTACAAACTGAGTCATTACCAAGCATTAATTAGGTATTTTTAGGTGATTGGAAGATATCGGAAGAGTCATCGGCTGTAATTAGTGCAAATCGCGCCCAGGT